AGTTTAGGACATGGATTTTATCTTCGGGGCTGGTTGGGGAAAATAAAGTCCATGTCCGAAACTGAGACGTATCCGGACAAAATATTTTCGCAATCCAAAAAATGTGGATCAAAACTTTTTCGTTTTATGAAAATGAGTACCAGTCTGTGGTAACAGTGAACCTCTAGACATGCACTGTACTTGGAATTTGTATATATAGTGGTACCCCATGCCAAGAAATCATAATGAATCTCGTTGCTTCAAGTGTTTCATGGGAGGAGAGATGGTCCACTCTCATTGGCTAGAAAAATTCACATAACGTAAAAAACCAATTTAAGATAACTTAACCAATTTAGGATAACTTTGAATTGCCCAATCACACCTCGTTATTTGTTCGAGTCAAAACCTCTGTCATATAATGCTGACCATTCCGTGACGTGAATGAAATTCAAAAACGGCGTAGAAACCATTGGTACAGTCATTCAAGATTGGGTTTGAAGTACCCTAGTCGACACGGGCCACATTGGGTTGGATCTGAGGTTTTGTCGAGTGTTAAACTCGGTGGATATCCTTCCACAACAGAAATATAACTCTATAAAACAGTACCCTTGTATAAATTATATGCAACCTATTGTAACCGCTTACCCTAAACACAGAATTTCAATGCTCCGACACATACATACTTTAAGATAAAAAAAGATATCCTAAATTGGTTATCAAAATGTGAGTACAAATGCTTAGAAAAGAAAGTAACAAATTTACCTGTGATGTTCTTCGTCTAAACTGATAATTCGATTATGAACTGAAAGCGGAGCGTCTTGTCTATTGGAATCACTATTGAAAACTCAAATATCGTAACGGACTCAAAAGTTATGTCCATTCTACTCCGACGCCTCCAAAAACGTTATCTTAAATTGGTTTTTTACGTTACTACAGTACTTCGTACAGTACTGTAGTATAAACCAGTAATTTCCATTGCATAGATCTTGTAAGAGCATCTCCAACGCGGGTCCCTATCCCAACTCTACACCTTTTCCCGATCAAAGTGCCACTTTATTCCAATCAAAGTGGTTTGGATAAAAAATATAAATTTTAACAAGGTTTCCAAAGTGGATAATTTCGGATCAATGTGGTTTTTCTTCCAATCAAAGT